ATAGTCGGAAAGTAAGGTTTGATCAATTCAACTTCGAAAATAAAACTTTTCAAAAAACAATTATAATTAATATAATCAACAATATTCTATAAATAATTCATACATTTGTAAAACAACAGTCTATTACTTTCAAATATTTACAATTGGGTTTTTGGGCCCTTAAGTTAAAAGTTTAGACTTGGATAAATTGGATTGGACCCTCATTTTTTATCAAGTCTTTAACAAAAATATTTTTATTTTTGAGCCTAGTATAAATGTTGGACTTATCTAAAAAGCCAGACATCTATTCCCAATATGTTTTTTGAAATATTAACTTACCTAGAGAGGGTGAATAAGCCAATTAATAAAAATTCTTATTAAATACTCAATTTTTAGTCTTTAAACAATTAAGCACATATAAGGAATCACATAAAAACACCAAGATTTTATGTGGGAAACCCAAAAGGATAAAAATCAGAGTCTCAACACCCAACAAAAATCCACTAAGAAAATTCAATAATATAGGACTTAGACAAAAGGACTTGCAACTATTCACCTAGGTTTACCTAGGAGTGTAAAATGGCCCGCCAACCTGAAGCCCGCCTAAGGCCTAGCCCGACGAGCCTGGTCTAGACCCAACCCGATGCCCAACATCACTTGCAAGCAATTTTGGTGAAATTTTCTTCTTAAAAAAAAGTCAATCCTGAGGCTCGAAACCCGATTACCCATGGGTCTGGGCCTATATTTTTTAGAATTAGGCCACCCCGGCCCGGTTCAATTTTTTGCGAGAGCCAAGCGGGCCAAGGCCGGGCTAGGCCATTTTCACACTACTATGTTTACCTAACTCCGTTGACAAATGCATCTGTTTATCCAAAATTATCAAGCATAACTGCAAATACATTTGGTGTTGAGAGAAAAAGAAAAAGAGTAATCGCGAATATTAGAGTCTTTCTTTGTTTAAAGTATTGACAACTTTTCCTGGAGTGATTCTAATTTTAACCATGTATATCAACCATCAAATGTTGGATTTTATTTGCATTGCTACACCAAAAATGCATAATGTTTTTACACACTCGAGAACATACAACCAACACCCAAATGCAAAAATCAAAGCAATCTTTTACTTTCATGATTCTAAATATCATGCCACATATGTGATTATAGACAGACCTAGAATTGACGGGGAAAGTACTAAATGATTCAAACATAAACTGCTGTTGTATAACATTTCTGATAATATTGATATGATTTTATTCAATGTGTGTGTAATGAAATTTAAGAAATTATAATGAATAAATAATAAATACTATCTGGTCATAACACACTGCCTTTTTACGAACTCCATACAAAAAATTGAACCGGTGCCATCCATGAAGGCCTATTTGTCAAGTGGTATCCCTACATTGGTACTGTGTAGAAGGGATTTACAACACTAATGAGAGAAAACTAGAAACTACATACCTCTTATCCACTTGTTGCAGCAATTCTAGGATCCCAAGAATACGATCCAGTGAACTGCATACTTCAGAGGACTTCGATGATGATGTCTTTTGTTAGAGAGGATCCCACATTCCTGTTAAAATGAATGCAGCAGATCTATGGATGGCACGAATGTCTGAAGACAACCAATACGTTGAGCCCACCCAGATGACTAACCCTAAAGGAGTAACAAATACAAGGTAATTAACCCCAATTTTTTAGATAAAAATAATAATTTCCAAGCAGATGAAAATATTCAAGCATTCAAATACTTTTTGAGACTTGCAAATTATGAGGAAAAAGAAATCAAATGGAATTTTACTTTTTCTTTGTTTGGCTGCATTGGAAAATTGTGCAGGATAATATTTTGAGGGAGTTTTCTTGTTTTAAAGTAACCCAGTTTTCATTATAAAACAGTAAGGAAAATGGGGAAACATGACTAACCATCAAAGGAGGACAATCACATTTCTAATAAATGGATTCTTTATGTTTGTACTTTTTCTTCCTCTTTTTCCCTCTTCATTTCCTTTCCCTTTCTTTTTCGTTTTACCTCACTGTTCCGGGGAACCAACAAGAGCCTATATGTATCTATGAAAAAACAAAATCCGTACTTTATGAGTGTTTGTGAACTCCTAAAGGTACACTTTGACAGCACCTTTTCTTTGACATTACCTAATAACCAAGGTTTTAAGTAAAGGTGGCAGCAACCATAATGGTAACGATAGCATTGATGTGACTGCGGAAAGTAACGGCCGTAGCATAATAGTTGTGGCAGTCGACCAAAGCCATAAATTTTTTGATTCTTCGCACAACTTCAGGAAAACATACTAACAAACATGTTTTTATTTCAAAATCACATTTAGTGAGGTTTATAATGATTTTTCGTGTGTTTTGTTTAGTTTTTAAATATGATCCAATATGTGTACTAATTTTTATGTAAGGTTTAAGTCACTATAGGGATTTTTCCTATTGTTGGATGTATTTAATTTTCTTTACTTTACTAATTATACTTGTAGATAACTTCCCACTTGTTAAGAAGAAAAAAACGAAACATGTTTAATATTAAAAATGATAATCTCATAAACATAAGTTCATACATAATACAAAATATCAACATACTAATGTAAAAGTACTTAACATGATATACAAATTTTGTTCAATAAATTTGACCCAGGAGCAAATATAGATATAATATATTAATATTCAAAGAATCAAATGAGCAATTAATGAAAGTTTGGAGAGAGAGAGAGAGAGAGAGAGAGAGAGAGAGAGAGAAGTAAGCTCATTTAACTTTGATAGCAACTTAAAAGAGAAGTAAGCTCATTTAACTTTGATAGCAACTCAAGTCTTGTAAAACTTGAATATTGGACATTCAAAACGTGTAGCTCTAAGATTTTCGCATAAGTTCTCTATCCTTTTTGCGCGATTTTAACAACTAGACAAAAATGGCCTTATATACAAAATCTATAAAATAAAATAAAATAAATAATAAAAAATAGAAGCATATGATCGTAATGGCGGCAAAGGTCAAATGAATAAATTTGATCAGAGAGCAAATATAGATATAATATAAGTTAATATTCAAAGAATCAAATGAGATTAATGAAATCTTTTCAACAAAAAGGTAATGAAGTTTGCAGAGAGAGAGAGAGAGAGAGAGAGAGAGAGAGAAGTAAGCTCATTTAACTTCAATATCAACTCAAGTCTTGTAGAACTTGAAGATTGGACATTCAAAACTTGTAGATCTAAGATTTTCACATAAGTTCTATGTTCTTTTTGTGCGATTTTAACAACTAGGAAAACGGGAAATGAGAAAAATGTCCCTATATACAAAATCTATAAAAATAAAATAAATATAAAAAAGAAAATAGAAGCGTAATGATTGTAATGGCAGCAACGAAATTGTAACGGCACTGTAATGGCCATTACGACCTTCATGCAACAGTGGCAACCATTACGGATGTGAATTTTGTCACACCACCATAGCGGCCGTAACAAGTGGCAGTAACAGTCATGGAAGTTTTTTAAAACTATGCTAATAACAGAAATTCTGGTAGCCAACAACAGTTAATCAGGGAACATAAAGAGTGCCAGAAGAACCTTTAGGAACAAAAACTAAAGGGAAGAACTAGTTGGTGGAGATATAAAGAGAGCCTTCAAAAGCAAAGAGGAGGTATCTAACATTGACTCACTAGCCGTTATACTTGGTTGTAGAGTTTTACTACGTAATCCAATTAACATTACTTTATCTAGTTTTCCTACACATTTTATGTCCTCGTATGCTATTACTATCACTGGTGCTAAGATAGTGTTTGGTTCACTAGAATGAGGTCGAACAGAATAATCATTCTATCAAAATATCCATTCACATATTTGGTTGACTAAAAAACATAATGAAATATGCATTGCAACTGAAATCATCAATCACCATTGTAAGAAAATGATCATTCCATAGGGGAGCTTAAAGAATGACCAATCCGTTTCATTCCATCTCTTTCCAATGAACCAAATAGAGTGAGAGATTAGAAAAGCAATGGAGCAATTTTTTGTAGGGTAGAATGGAGGAGGAATTCAAGTAACCATTTGGTAGACTAGGACTCAATTTGTACTCCTATTATAGGATAGGGACTTGGTATCAAGAAGTTAGAAATGCTTAATCAAGCTTTATTGGGGAAGCGGAGGAAAAGTTTTGTGGGTGAGAGGGATATATGATGAAGAATGGTAGTAGCTCTGAAGTATGGGTGTGATTTAGGGGATTGGAACCCTCTAGAAGTATCTATTTCTTATGGCATATTTGGAAAGGTGTTAGAAAGGAGTGGGAATAAGTTTGTGGTGAATATTAGTATGGTGGTGGAGGTGGGGAGAAGGGTCAAGTTTTGGTCTTCAAAAGAGTAAGCATTGTAACTTTGTGCACTTAGGTTGTGTTTGGACAATAGCTTTGGATAGGTCTTTGGAAAGGAAAAGGTGAAGGAAATTTGCATGAAATATAAGACAATTTTTTTCTCCTTTTCCTTTCTCTTTCCAAATCCCTACCCAAATGCATAATCCAAACACAGCCTTACTGTTTGCTATAGATGAAGATAATGATGAAAGAGAAATCTAACATCAAACCTTAGAGGATGGCAGGGGCAAAAAAGCTTCACACGAGGCCTTTCTAGGTTTTGTTAGCTATCAAATCTCTCGAAGTTGTTATGCTATATCTTCTACAAGTTGCAGTTGAAAATTTTCCCTTTCCCGATAGTCCACAGAGAAGTTGAGCTTCTGTCTTCATTCCTGCACAATGCTTAACCTCTCTCCGATTCACTCAACTTCCATGTCAATTTTCAATCTTTCATTGTCAATTGTTGACATCAAATTTTTCTGCAGATCAAAAACTACAGATTTCTCTACATCTCCTTGCTTGAAAATCAGCTTCTTCATTCCATCTGGAAATTCATAATTCCTCTCCAAGGGCAAGGGTGTACAGTTTTTGCTTATCAATAGACAATACCTCATTAACTGAACTTTTATCCTTTACAATTTCCTTCTTGTCAATGGATTCACTAAGCCATTGGAGCATCAGCCTGTTCTCTCTGTGTGTTCACCATACACTGAATGTCATCTTGTAACTGTTAATTTCCAATATGAATCATTCGCCTATAAGCTTCAACTTCCCTTTCCAAGAAATGCTTCTCTTTCTGTCTGCTCACCAGAATTTCTTTAAGGGTGTTCATTTCTTCAGCATCATAAGCAGATTTTTCTTCTATTATCCCCTGGTATTGCCAAGCCTCCATTTCTATGGATGCCTTCTCATCTTGTAGACTGTAATAACCCTCATCACTGCTTACCGATAAACATTGATTACCGTCAAACTGAACTGATTATGACTAATAATTGAACTGATTAAAGTACTGAACTGACTGACTGAAAATTGGAACTGAATTGACTGAGTCTATCTGTTTAATTGTGCATCTATCTGTTTGATTGATTATTTGTTATGTTCGTGTTTTAGTGTTTAAACTGCTAATTGAAGGCCTTATCGGCGGCTGAATCGGGAATTGATTGATGTTTTATGATCCTCATAATTAATGTGATTTTATGGTATATTTATCTGAAAACTGATTAGGTATGATTAAACTAGATTAAAATGAGTTAATTGCAAAGTTTGCCATAATTACCGTTTTGCCACCGAGTGGCCCACTACCTAGTTATGCTAGAGCCTAGCATACTTGACTCTAAACATCTCTTAAGCTCCATTTCTTGCACACAAACCGACCATAGGGAGGCGAGAGTGAGAGATTGAGTTGTTCATCTTGAGTTCTTGAAGATTTGGCTTAGACAACTTGGAGAATTGAAAGTTGATTGTTGATTTGTGGTTTTACACTTGTAATTGAAGCTCTAGGTAAGAGAATTCAACCTTTATTGATGTGTTTGAGCTTGTTCTTGCATGATTCATGTCAAAATTGAGAATTGAGCCATGATTTAGTGCTAGCATGTTGTAATAGAGCATAATTCATGCATGCATGTTAGTATTGTGGGATTTTGAGTTGAGTTCATGGCAAATTGTCACATGCATGTCCATAATTTTGTAATGGTCCATGTTTTCAACTTGTTTTTGGATCAATTGGCTCCTTAGAGCATCAAATTGAAGCTTTGAATTGATTTGAATTCATGCATGTTTGCATGTTCTCCATGTTCATGAAAATGGTTTGAAATTGGGTTTGAATTAAACACCCTTGGGCTTTGATTTCTCAAAATTGAGCTTTGAACCATGTTATTCTATGTGTTTACAAATGTTTTCTGGAAATTCAGCCCAAGAGGTCGAGTTTTGAATTGTGAAAGCTTGGTTTGAGCTTGGAGGTGCAATCTGGGTTTTCCAGATTTTGCACTTCCGCTCGAGCGGGGAAATGGGCGCTCGAGCGGAGAATCCGAGCATCCAGTATTTCTCTGCACTGTTTTACAGTCCGCTCGAGCGGAGGATTGGGCGCTCGAGCGGAGTCATGTCTCAAGCTCGAGCGGGCGTCGAGCGGAGATTTCACCCATCCAGTACTTTTACAGTACGCTCGAGCGGGAGAGTTGACGCTCGAGCGTGTACCTTGATTCGAAGTTTACATCGAGGTTTTGGCAAAGTCTACAGACTGCATTGGGTACTGATTTGAGGCTGAGTAGTGCCTATCATCCTCAGACAGATGGCCAGTCAGAAAGGACCATCCAGACTCTGGAGGATTTACTGAGAATGTGTGTCCTTGATTTTCAGGGAGATGTTGATCGTCGAGGGCTTCATTTTAATCTGAAAATCTCGGGTTTTGGAGCACGTTGGGTTTTGTCGTCTTCTCCTTTGGGACTCGAATTTGAGGTAGGATAACCTACTCCTCTCTATGGTTTTGTCTTTAAATTTTGGTAATTTGAGATGTTGGGCTTGGTTTGATAATTTTGTGAAAGTTTGGGCTTTTGTGTAATTTTACCAAAAGTTGGGGTTTATTCATAATAAACCTAGATGCATGTTTGGCATAGAAAAGTGGAATGATTGTTGAATCATTGATGAAAATGGGACCTAAGGGTTGAGATGGTAATTATGGAAAATGGCCTAATTACATTGTTTAATTAATTGGGATAATTAATTGGTGAGAAATGAGGAAATGAAATGTTGATTGAAATTCCATTTGTGCATTTATTTTCTGTTTTAGAAATAACTGCTTTGGGCTATCGGTGGAGGATAGTCGAGATTGTTGTAGACAATGCATGATGATTAGGTAAACGGAAACTAATCAATGGAATGTGTCATGGAACTTGACGGTTTATAGAATACATTAATTGTGTGTATTGTGTGATTGTATATAGAAACCAATGTGTTTAATACGTTATGTGTAGAGGAGGAGATAGGGGATGTACTCCGCGGTTTAGGGAAGATAGGGGATGTACTCTAAACCGGATAGGTATTGGGAGGAGATAGGGGATAACTCCGTAGGACAGAGCTCATATGCTTGTCTAGAGAAGTGAAGATTAGAGCTCATATGTTATCTTTGTGAAGTGTGGATACAGCTTGTATGCTTATCTGTGGATATTGTTGATATACATATCTGTTGTAGAATGTGGATACAGCTTGTATGCTTATCTGTGGATATTGTTGATATACATATCTGTTGAGAATGTGGATATAGCTTTTATGCTTATCTGAATGTGAGATATAGTTTTTATACATATCTGTGGAAATGATGATAGGGCTAGCATGCTTATCTGTGAAAAAGGGAAAATGAAAAGTAATTGGGACTTGTAAGTCGTTGACATAAATATGTAATTTATGTTGATTGTATCAGTGTTGACCAACTATCAATTGCTAATGTTTTAGTCATTGTCCATGGTTGGTTTAGTGTATTTCTACTGGGCTGTGGCTCACCCTATATGGAATATCATTTTTAGGTACAGGAAGCATGCCACCTCCAAGGACATAGCTTAGGAGGCTAGAGGCGGACATAGTGTAGTTGTTTTACTTTTGATGTATTACATGTAACTACAAGCCAAGGGCTGAATGTGTAAACGAGTTAGTACTCTTTTGTTGTTAACCAAGTGTTAACTTGGAAAGCTGTAAGCCCGTAGGGCATTTTGTTTTGATGTTAACATGTAATACTTATGTAATGAAAACTCAATGAAATAAAGAAATGTGGTTATTTATATGTAAATGCATGTCTTTATCTGATGGGTTTAATGTTTATTATTTTTGAGGCGTTACAACTTGGTATCAGAGCGTACCAGGTTCGAATACTTTGGGTACGTGGGAAGTGATTAGGATCACAATGGTTTTGTCTCGCTTGATAGAGACTTAGATGTAGTATCATATGCTATGTGCTTAAATGCTAACATGCTTATGTGACTATGTGGGTATGGGATTTAATTTCTAGGATGTTGATTGGATCCTGAGTTATCTCTCCTCTT